TAAGTTTAATTGCTGACTGTGATTAACGGGTTATTCAGTAAATAACTTATTTTATGTAGTATCGCAGTCTCTTTATTCTGTAGTATCTAAGGGGAAGAAGACATTATATGTTTTCACTCCGTGATGGTAACATTTCGTAATACTGTCAGTTCTGAGTAGGATAATAATCAACGGATACTACTATACTAATGGATTTATAAGCCTCCCGTGCTGCAGGGATGTTCATGATTAAATACCAGATGATTAACCGAATCGTTCTAACATATAATGAACTAGTTTTAACTAAACGATTATTGAACGATTGTGGTTGCAGAGGATGTGATTTGGTTCCAAAAAATGACCTTTTATTGTAAACTGTACTTGTGTTAGTCATAAGTCATCATAATTGATTGCTATAAAATATTAGTGTAAAAAAAATCAACGTATTTTTAAAATGAAAATTTCTACAGATTTTAAGTACTAAATAAGTCATTTATAGATAAGTATGGCTCAAGTTACAAAAAAAAAAAAATAAGAACTGCAGTAATGCCAATACCACATCACTAAATATTACTGATTTTTCTTTAATTAAACGTTTTAAATCTTTTTAGTTTTCTAAAATGCAAAATCTGAATGATCTTATGCATCTAGAGAAGAAATTAAATAGTTTTAAATAAAGGTAAATATAAGTAGTTAACAATATATAAAAACTATTCATTTGCTTAAAAAACCTTTTAGATTAGAGAAGGTAGTAACTAAGTATTATTCTGTCTGTGATATTATTAAGATAGCTATTTTAAGTATTCACAATAACTAAAATTCTTGAAATGCAATATGTTATTCTTTTCTTACTGTTAAAGGTTAACTTAAAAGTAAAACAAATTTAAAAATTGTGTTAGCAGCTTTAGTACACAGTTTATACTGTGAATTCTAATCAACACAGACGTACAATATTAAATAATACCCCCGCCGCAGCAAACCTGCCGACTAAGCGAATTTCCGTCTGAATTGATTTTCAGTTAAATATATTTTAATAACATTAGGTTTAACGAGTACCTAGGTTTGCTGCTACAAGGAAACTAATAAAGTGTTTTTTTGAGTAAAATATTGATAGCTTAGTACAAAATAAATAAATTTGCCAAGTTTGATCAAAATATATCCATAAACAAGCATACTACAACATTTGACAATATTCTCCATAAGAATAACATGGGAATTTTAAATTTACAATTTTTTTAATTTTCTCCGTTACTAACAATCGAACAAAAATACTTTTATATACTAAATTATTTGTTTTTTTAAGCTCTTTAAAAAGGTCTAAAGAGAAATCGGGAAATTTTGTGTTTTGAGGGTCAAACGTGAGAAAAACCAATTTTTACCCCATAAAACCCCCCGTAAAGCCCCGTTCCCATGGTCCGATCGTGCTGGTTCGCGAACTCATTCAAGTTTATCCCGCTTTACACCTTGAAACCAAATTTCATCAAAATCGGACAAAAATTACTCAAGTTATCGCGTTCACGTACGTATATATATAAAAATTTGAACGAATGGTGTTTTTGGTCTCTGGGGACATCAAAATGAAAAAGTAAATCGGTCCCGGGTATAGGTCTTACCGTGCCACCTACGGTAATAGCTACTTCCCTATAGGGAAATTCGCTAAAAACATGAATCAGATGTGATAAGTGTGTGAACACTTTTGGGGAGCGTTTCATAAACTCCAAATTTCACAAACTCCAACGCTTAAAATATTAAATAAACAGAGCGGTTCATAACCTCCAAATTTCACAAGCTCCAAATCTATAACATTCAAATAATCACTGTTTCACAATGTCCAAGTTTCACAAACTCCAACGTTTAAATATTAAATAAACAGAGCGGTTCATAATGTCCAAATTTCATAACCTCCAACGGTACAGTCTGGGCCAGAAGTCTCTCTAGTGGTTGCCACAGTCAGATAGCAGGCACCGTTCGCCAGCGCTCAACTACTGATTATACGTACATTTTAATGATTGAAGAACACTCAGATGTGTGACTCAAATATGTGTTAGCACACAATGTGCAAATCAAATTTACATTTTAGCGAATTTCCCCTATAGGGAATAAGCTATTACCGTAGTACTCATGGTAAGACCTGGTCCCGGGACCGATTTACCGAACCACGGCAACCTTTGCAGCGACTTCTGACAGAGACTGTGCCGTTGGAGCTTATGAAACTTGGAGGTTATGAACAGCTCTGTTTATTTGATATTTAAACGTTGGAGTTTGTGAAATTTGGACATTGTGAATCGGTGATTATTTGAAAGTTATAGTTTTGGAGTTTATGAAATTTGGAGGTTATGAAACGCACTGTTTATTTAATATTTTAGACGTTGGAGTTTGTGAAATTTGGACATTATGAACCTCACCCACAGTTTTGTATTTAGTAATAACCAATCGGTCCCCAACATTCTTATCTATAGGTGTTACAGTATGAGCCATGTACGGTAGCTTTATAAAATTTGTTGTAACTAATTGTAATTTTAAGTAAAGATACTTCATATGTTACCGATACTTATCATTGTTGAACGGAACGCAAAGCTTAGCTGGGCTTGTGATGCAATCATTTGCTTGACATAACTGTCATAACGAGCTGTGATCCGAGCCTGTCATTGTTCAGACTATTCCAACCATAATGTGGAATCCAGTTAACAAGGAGCACAAAGCACGCATAGTAATTGTATTGACTATAATCATAATTATAGTTAGTCATAACTTCTTCATAAGAAGTCATAACTTCTTTTTAATACCTTTAATCTAATGATATTTTAGTTACAGTTTTTAATAATATAAAATATAATTATATCTTTACATTACCGTAAAATGGGGTGAATAGAAACAACAGGGTGAATAGAAACAAAACTTCAATGAATGATTCACATTTTTATAACTTTGTTATACATTGACTTTATATAAGGGAATTATTTTCCCCCATTATAACCATATCCTATCTACCTGGGAAAAATTAGTTTAGCATATTGGTATCACTGCTTCGGATGTTGGATGATGCGAAACATCATTTGAAAATTTTGGCGAAAAACATTCTTTTCAAAACTTTCTCTCTAAGTATGAACCTATTACATGTATTTATGTTAGTAACCATTTTTTATATTGTCTTAGGTATCTTAAAACCAAGTGTGTTAATAGATTAGCCTTAGAATAAACTATATTTTTTTACTTTATTTTTAATTTAGGTTATGTCATGATTTTGCAAAACCAGGGTGAATAGAAACACTTTTTTTTAACCAGTGGTGCCCAGAAAACCCCCCAAAAAAGAAAAAAAAATACCAGAGATGAAGATGATTCTACATCAGTCACACTGGAAGAAAGTGACAAAGACGAACAATTTGATGAAGAAGAACGAGCATACCTAGCTCAAGACATCAGTGAGTCTTCAAAGTTGTCCCTTCATGATCATGTAATTGTCAAAGTAATGGGGAAAAACAAAACTTGCTATCGTTTATATGTTGCAAAAGTTATTGAATTTGACGAGGAAGGATAAATAGGAAGATTCATCAAGAAAATTGCGCAAACCAACAAGTTCTGAGAGACAGATTAAGAGGCCCTCTTCAAAGTCGATGACGTAGTACGATCGGCTTCCAACTCCCAAGCCGTGTACAACTTGTAGATTTAAGGGAGTGTTGTATTTTGAGGAAGATTTGTCTGATTTTACTCTTCATTTAGTTGGTTTCTATGTAAGATTTTGTTACTCTGATTTCACCCATTGTCATTTATGTTCTCCGATTTGTTTGGATAAGGGTTTATGAAAACAACGTTTTTATACTTCGTACTTATAAATAAATGTGTTAATTAACTTTAAATATTTTTATTTACAACAACCTAAGCTAACAAGCATAAATTTCATGTTTCTATTGCCCCTGGTAAGTGAGGAAAAGCAACAATGATCAATTTAACACAGTGTTTCTATTCACCCCAAAGTGCGGGGTGAATAGAAACAGCCATATTTTATTTTTTTTCTGCTTAATGATTAAAAAGAAAAAAAATTTGATAACTGGTTTGAGTAGAGGAGTTCAAGACCGAAAATATGAGCTAGTGTTGAAAATTTAAAAATTAAAAATATCGGTTTTACAGAAGCTTAAAAGTCAAAAAGTGTTTCTATTCACCCCATTCTACGGTATTGCATTGAGCCAAGTATAATCTATACATGGTAAAATGATGCGTATTGTGTCATATATATGAGTAAAATATAAATGTAGAGACGCCTTTTTTGACACCTGTTCATGAACAGAATGGATGAATTATCCATTAATAATCTATTAGCTTAATTAAATTAATCTTCTACTAAACTTTCAGCGGCACTATAAACGACCAACTGCCCAGCTAACATTCGATGGTTAGTGTAAAAAGATTTCTGAATGCAAAACCAGAAAACCTTAAAAACTAATAATCCATTCATTTCATCTCGGGAATAATAAAAAAAACATTAAATGAATATATATAATTATTTATTACTTCTATTATATATAAGTTTTTTTCATTCATAGTAAAAAAGGTTATTCAGTCTGTAAAAAATGGTTGTTTTTTATGTTAAAGGTTAAAGGACCATAGTCTTTGGATAATGAAGGTAAACTTTTCATCCTCATCATATTGTAAAGTCTGTAGGATATTTTGGTGTTAATTTTGAGGCATAATTACCTTAAAGTGTATTGATTTCAAGTATTTTTTTAAAATTCTTGTTTCAGGGTAAAATTTAAAAATGGATTTTTACTCGCTAGTTGTAAGGTTTACCTGGATGACGCTTAATATAGTTTGTTATTGTTAGGCAGTTTGAATTCATTCGAATAACAGGAAATAAATAGTTAACTCAAAAACTCGATTTTATTTGAACCGAAACATGAATTTAAGATGACAAATCTGTATGAATATAGTTACAATCTGTATTACCAATATGAATTCAAAAATAAATTCTTATGGAATGTAAAACCTGATCCAGATCCTGAAAGTGATACAGAATTTCGTTGCAGGATCGCCGTCTTGTCCGACTCCAGGTGGCCCGCCTTCTCCAAGTAGATCCCCCAAAATCCCCCCTAAGCCCAAGAAGGATAAGAACAGTTCGCAGTCGCAGAAGAAGTTCCTTCAGAAGCAGGAGCAGTACGACAGAAACGTAAAGATGGCGGCTGCTGGTGAGGGAACACTGAGAGACCTGTCACATCCTTCCCTCAACGACCAGCTGAAGAACCACAACGCCGTCACGTTCAAACTCGTCCGAACAGGTAAGACACTCAAAATGCTTTACTATGGTCATTGGTCAGTGTTTGCAATGCTATCACTTGTACTAGGTAATGTATATTCTTTACACCACACGTTTTGATAACCGCTAGGCATATTTACTATCATAGTTTGATATTTTCTATTTAATCAAGAGTTATCAAGATTTTCATTTTGTGGTCCAAAGGTATCCTACAAGGTGACTGGATATACCAAACGTCCCAAAAGCATACAATTTATTGATGAAGGGGTTACTTCTGAATAAAATAATACGAGATTACAGTAGAACACATTCTATATTTCTAACTCTTTCTCATTTTCCATGTTTCCTATTTTTTTGGAAGAGCCATGCATATTATCAATTAAAACTTTCTCATGTGTTGTTTTGAATTGGAAAGTGGTACACAGTAATATACGGTATGCATTGAATAAATGTAAACCATCAAATCACAGAAACATATCTGCGAAAGAAGTATCTGCGATTAAGTCCACTATTATTTTGTTATTTTGTTATTAACGTTATAAAACTATTATGAAAAATCACTAACAACTTTTTTAATCGGGTAAATTTGTTCGGAAAAGAGTTCTTTGCAAGTTGTTTGATACTTGTGTTTTTGTAAAAGTAATCCCGGAGAAATTGAATCCAAATTGAGAAAGTTGATATGACGAGAAAGAGCAAAATGTTGAAGATGGAGTTTGGCGATAGGAGTTGGCGTGGTTTTACTTTGGGATAAGAATGCCAGCAAAGCCTTTCAACAACATGGACTTTGAGACAAAGAATTGGTGACGTTCGGTTTTATATTGCTCGTGAGAGGTTTTGTATTGCTCGTGTAAGGTTTTGAATTGCACGTGCAAGGTTTTGAATTGCACGTGTAAGGTTTTGCATCATCCGTGTTACACAAACATGGGATAATACATTGTGTTCTTATTCACTTTTACGGCAAGGTAAGTAAAAAATAAATATTCGATTTTTTCATATCTTTTTGGAGTTCTATTTAAATCCATTTTAGATTGAAACTGTTAGTAGCACTAACACAGTGCTTTTGTTCATGCATAGCGTTAATTTCGCGACATGAGTGCATCCAGTAATAAATGTAATAGTTGTAGTGAGAGGCCACTACAATTGACTTTCAGAGAGAAAAGAGTGTAATAACTCAGTATAAAATAAAATCATATTATTACCAACAAAATGGGTAGAGCTTCTATTATGAGTCATAAGAAATTCAAATACTCCTTTTACTATTTGGCAATATACTTTGAATTTATAGTTACATGTCAAAATCACTTTGGGTAAAATAATTGTATAGCAAATTATTATTATTAACATATGTTATTAACAATTATTAACAATTATTATTAACATTATTATTATTAACATATGTGAAAGTATGGATGGTATCAAACTATTTTAACTCAAACTTAAAAGTCAATTTTATTACTTAAAATTTACCTACAAAACCTTAGTTTTCGCCAATATATTTCTGTATAGATGTGCCAATTGGCCAAATTATTATTACCAAATTATTACCAATACATTATGGTATACTTTGGCTACGGTACCAAAAGTTATTGGCCAAAACTAAGGGTTTGTAGGTACATTTAAAAAAGTAAAAGGAATTTAACGCTTATAATTATGTAAACAAGAGAATAATTATCGTAAAATGGCTGCAAAGCTAAAAATAAAAAGCGATTTTCGTAGCTCGGTCATGATTCCACGATGTAAACTAAATCCAATCTTTATCTGTCCAGGCGGGGACGTGTATCCCGTGCTATCCAACACGGATCTTTCAATCTACGTGTGTTGAAGCTAAAGCAATTATTTTGTGTTATTGCCGACTTTCAGTAAATATTGTCAATAATTATAAGCGTGTAATAGTTCAAGAAAATGCCAAACTGTTTTTTCTATATCACCACCCTTAGATTGCTTGGACCTTTTTGGACGGGAGGGAAGCTGTTACTGCCTTCAATAAAAAATAATTACGAAGGGGTATGATTTTGTAACCATATAGTTTTACTCAATCATACGTTTTTAATCAAATATCTCTACGGTACGTGCACCGATGCCTAAAATACAAGTTGAAGGTTTTGAACTCGAAAGATACACTTCCAAAACAGAGGAAATTTAAAGCAATCATATTTCTAAGCATGAAGCTTAAAGCAGCATACTGGCTGTCACTTGTCGGAAACTAATTGCGTCTAATTTTAACATGCAATAAATTAGCCTCGAATCAATATATTGACTCCTTTATTCTGAAGTGGTGAAACGGAACTGACTATAATACAGAGCACAAATATCACAAGGGGAAATGTGTCTTTGCCTGTTTTTGTTTGTGAAACTGTGAAAACGTGTGTATTTCAGTTAAAAATCTTCTTTCGGGTAAATAATTAATAACCGAAAATTAATGAACGTAAGATTTGAAACTGTCCAATCTAATATTTAGAATCTGAAATAAATTATTTACAATAAGTTTACAGACTAAACAATTTAATTATTTGTTAAATAACTGTAAATTATACAAAGTTTTATCACTTCACTTGTTTAGATCAAATACAAAGCTTTTAATACGCAAAATACTTTCAATGGTGCCAAACCAATAAAGGAGACCAATACTTGGGGAATGTCTACATTCTCCCGTAGGTTTTGCCCCATTGAGCACTAAAGTCAGTTATATTCTTGATAAAGAAGCAGTAAAAGTCAATGATATATTGTCATGATAAGGAGGATTAGATGTATGACGAATAAGATCTCACCTTACACGTTTTGTCGATTTTGTTTGAAAAATTGCTTCCCGATTTTTTTAACATACAATATTCAAATATAGGAAAGAGTAAAACCTCTTTTACCATTGTATCTTTAAATCTATCATGATTGTTAGGGTGTTACATGTTTATCATGAGTCCTTTGGTGTTTTGTAAATTAATTATACAGGGTGGGGCAATGAAAGCGCCCCAATTTATAAACAGTACAAACTCAATAATATCCACCCTATGGATATAAATAGCACACCAAAACACAGCTTATCTTTTGCCATTTTAACTTAACAAAGTCATTTTTCCATTTCTTGAGAACAAAATCCTACAAGTGACTTCATTTTCCTACTTGAAATTCCTTTTTAGCCACTTGAAACTCCATCAAATACTCCTCCAGCACCTCTTCAGGAATCACTTTAGTTTTTGGACTATCCTTAGCTTCGGTTCAAGCAAATCTGTGGGGTGACTTTGAAAAACCTAGAACGTCAAGTAGCTTATTAGAACAACCCCTCTCCCAAAAAAAAATTGCCAACGTAAAGCTTTCAACAACAAAAGCTTCCTGACAAATCTCTTCGGACTTATATTCTTTTAACATTCGCTGGTGTACAAATAGTTTTGCGGCACCCACCGATTATTATTTTTGTTTAAGCGATTATCCTAAATAATTTTACCCAATTCAACATTGTTTTCCAATCTGGAACAGCGCCATGTTGACCAAGGATGGAATACGGTCCAAACAATCTCTGGGTTTTTGCACAAGAACCACTATTTTATAAATAGGTTTCTACACCAAAATCTCAGTGTTAATAGCCTCAGGCATAATATTTACTAAAATGGCATAGTTTAATTGATGTTTTAAGCACAGCTGATCATTCATCGTTGCAACAATTAACATGTGACAGGTAAAACAAATTGTAGCGTTCTCATTGCCTCACCCTGTAAGTTTCCCAGCACTAATACAACACTGATTCGCAGTATTTTCCCCGGTTATAAAAACTCAAGAACAATCGTTGCACTTGCGATTAATTAAACCAAATAAGTAAGGCGCGACGTTTTTAATCTCACTTGGTTTGGATGTGCTTACAAAACTTTATCAGAAATATTTGCGGTATTTGTAAACAGTATTTAATGTAAACATATCAGTGACAGCTAGAAGTAAGAACTAATCCAAACAGCTGATCGTTATTTCATGTATAAAAAATGTTGGCCCATAAGAATTTAACCTCTTGCTTATAATTTGAACACAGTAACTCAACAATTTTCAATCCCATTCCTTATTGTTACACCCTTAAATTATTGACAAAGTCCTAGGAACAAGTTTGTAACACTGAACTTCAATGTTTTTGAAACATTTATGAAATGAAATAGTGGGGTTTTAGTTGGCAATTATTGCCCTTGAAATGTGCTGCACTAGACAACGAAACAAATTACGGGGAAAATTAAATTCATTATACATAAGTGACATAATAATAACATAAGTCATTATACAATGTACATACACATATTTGTAACGTTATATACTTGATTAAAGAAATGTAATATTGTATCAGCATGTTTTTTATTTTAATTTCTTACCGTTACAATTTTTAGATATACACGTACAAATCTAAATACATACTACTTTTACTAATTTATGAATAGAACATGTTACAAATGCAATATAATAGCATGTATGTTCAATGATTAATTAAAAGAGCATCTAAATTTTCATACTACCAGAAATTCGAGTAAATATGAACCAGTTACCGTATAACGAATACAGAGAGGATGAACAAGGATGCCGGAAATATCACATTACATAGTGCAGTAATATTCATTACGCTTACTGAACTAAATAAATATTATAACTACCAAGAGCTTTTACTGTTCGACGTTAAATCACATGTGTTTGGTGATAATACGATTTCACCGTTCATTTAGATAAGGATACTACTCTGGATACTTCGAGAAGAAGAAAAGTAAAAGTAAAGTCTCTCTTATATTCAATCCATTAATGCGATTATTCTTTCCAGCCAATCCCAGAAACTGAACTCCCAAGAGCTACTCTTATATTGACTGCTATGAGCTACGCATATTCATATGATTGCTCTACTTTAAAAAAAAACTAAAAAGAATTTTAGAAACCTTAGAATGGATACTTTTGCACTACTAATAAACAAAAAGATTGATGTAGGCTATTTGTAAATAACTGAAAAAGTAGTCTTACTAATGAAATTCGTTCACGATTTTTATTTGCTTTAGATTTTTTTTGTGA